TCGCAGGGACCTATTTCGATGTAAAATTTAATGCCCTTTCAGAAACTGAGCGCAAAATTTTGATTTTTTGCGTAATAAAAAAGTTATAGCTACTTAAACAAAAAAAAACGTAAAAATTTTTGCAAAAAATCAAGTTTTCGATTTTTTTTCGCCATGTTACCGGTAAGGAATCACGATATAAATATGATCAGGGGTGATCACGACTATCAAAGTATCTCAGAGAATTTTTATGGAATTTTTGAACCACTTTTCAAATCTTCGTTTTGTGCACTTTTTCTCTAAATTCAATAGTTTTCGAGTAAAAATGAGTCATGTTTTATATGAATATGAGTTATTTTTTGTTTGAAGTAATGGTTCGAAAATTCCATAAAAATTCTCTGAGATACTTTGATAGTCGTGATCACCCCTGATCATATTTATATCGTGATTCCTTACCGGTAACATGGCGAAAAAAAATCGAAAACTTGATTTTTTGCAAAAATTTTTACGTTTTTTTTTGTTTAAGTAGCTATAACTTTTTTATTACGCAAAAAATCAAAATTTTGCGCTCAGTTTCTGAAAGGACATTAAATTTTACATCGAAATAGGTCCCTGCGAAATTTTTCTAAGGTCTAAAACTACAAAAAAAATCGCTGCGAAAACCAACAAAAAAATCAAGCATTTTGGTCGTTAATGGGTTAAAACGGCTCTACAGCAGTTAATTTTGAAGCAATCAAAATTTTGAAAAAAGCAAATTAAAGGTCTTTTTAAGACCTTCAATTTGACGGGTTCGAAGTTTTATTTGCTTGAAAATTAACGGCTACAGAGCCATTTGAATATCGCTGTAAAGAAGCGGTAAAAATTAATTTAAATCGAATTTAAAAACCTGATGTCGATGGAAGTAATTTTGTATTCAAGTGGTTCGAAGGTGATCAGATGCCAATTTCTATCGATGACATTACCGTTCAAAATAATGACGAAAAAGGTACATACAGCTTCGTTTTAAAACTTTCATAATTTATAATGATATATATTAAATAAATAAAATTTAATTTCAGACTCGAGTGATGAAAATGATGACGACACACCTATCGGCAATCTTGAAACGATTTATTCAGATTTAGATGATTCTGATGATTCAAATGGGTCAGAATATGACCACTAAATTTTATGTAATCAATACAATTTTATTGATTTTAAACTTACAATCATAAAACATAATTTATATTATTTTTTTACTGCATTTATTTATGCTTAATTAAAATACAGGCGATCGCGTGAATTCCAATACCGCAGAGCTGATGAGTGCTCATGTTCAACGAACTGTAAGAAGCGCTTAGCCCCGGGTCTGGGGCGTAAGAAATTGATTTTCTTGTTTTTAACAATCAGAAGTTTGGTTTGCTAAAACTTAGACGGTGAATAAGATTGAACAGTACCCTCGAAAAATTTGACACTTTCCGGTCTCCGTAAGAAAAGCATTGCCCCACTTGGTAGGTGTAAGAAATGGTTTTTCATGACTTGTGCACTTCAAACTAAAGTCCTGATAAGGTTTTATGCTGAATAAGATTTGACATAGACCCTATGAAAAATGACATGTTTATTAATGATTATTTAAATAACGCCCCACCCCCAGACCGCGGGACCACCACTAAAGTTTCTTACCCGATGGATAGTAATGATTTTGAAAATATGGCAGTGAATAAGATAATGTAATGATTTGGTCACCGGCTCCCGGTCTATAGGATTAAAATACAGCGAGGGTGGGGTTAGAGTTTGATACGACTAGTCCCGAAAATAATAAAATTTCCAAAATTGTCATTCGAAAAATACGCCTTCAAACCTCCAACGAGTTCAAATCAATCGATTAATGAAAAAAAATTTTTATTCTAAATTTCATTTACCCACGGAAAATTTAATACAGTTTATATCAATGATTATTAATCTGTATAAGAAAAATTACTATTCAAACAAGAAACATTACTACTCATAATATAAAAATTACTGTAATAAATGGGAAATTTTGATAGAATTCAAAAGAATAAATTTTTCCTACATTGAATAGTAAAAATTACTAAAATGTGTCGATGTCACCTCTTTACTAGATATTATAGTAATTTTTACTGTGAATTCTAACAATATTTATTATATTTTTTTCTCCGTGCAGGAACAGAAGAGCAATTGATTTATAACTTAATGAACATTTTTAAAATAAGTTATGCCTTAAAAGCTTGTATACACAATAGGCCATGCATACATCAGACAATCGCGTTCTGGAGATTTGCCCATATAAGCACATTGACACTCATATTTGCGTATACACTCGCGAAGTCCCAGGTAAGCTAAATTTGATATACCTATCGGAATGGGAAACCTCAAAAGTTTTTTTGAAAGTTTATATTCACGAGATGGAAAAAAGAGTGTAAACATTCAATTCAACGAAATTGATGGCCATGTTTCGCTGTAAGCATTTTGAAAAATCAGTTTTTATGTAATAAAAATTGTGAAATTTTATTTTCGAGAATAGGATCATTAGGAGATAGAGAAATTTAAAAAACAATTACGTTATACTAATCAAATGAGTAATGATAGGAACTGAAATGACTATGATTTTTTTTTCGTGCAGGTGCTAATCAACTCGCAAGTAAAAGAATAAAAGATAAAGATTGCGATCTGCGATTTCCACCATGCGATCAAAATAAAATAAGTAAAAAGAAATTAAGAAAACAGTAGATATCGTATAAGACCTATATGCGTTGTCGCAGCAGATGTTTGACGGTCCTTGGCGGGTAAATTCATTCGCGTTTGACGGATATCACGAAAAAGGGAGTATGAGTTGTCGTATTGAATCATCGGAGCCGAAACGATAAATAAAATATGAGGACTGGCAGTGACGAGGCCATGGGCAAGATCGTGTGCATTTTTTTACTCTAACCGAAGAGAGCATAGTAATTCAGTAGCCCAAGTAAGACGACGACGACAAAGTAAAGTAGCGGCATACGCGCAGTGACGATAGCATAAGTAGCTGCGGAGAGAAAACCTGCCCGGAGCGCGAGAAAGGAATTGAAATAAAAGAAGTAAAGTCGTCCGAGACACAATGTTTACAGCTGAGGACTTGTACTAAATCTCGTTCCAGGGATAGAGAGAAAGAAGGAGGAAAAAGAAGCGCAAGAAAGAGAGAGAAAGAGACACGTGGCGAGTAGGACCCGCGACGATGTTTAAGCCCCGTGTGCGATCTTAATCTGAAGGAGCTACTGTTGCACAGCAAAAAAGCGCCGCGAGCCACAGAGAGCAAGAGAGAGGAGGAAAGAAAATCCATCCTCCTCGTACGCGGGCGCGCGCGAGTGCAGGATCAGAGCTCTCTTCTCGGCAGAGCAGCAAAAGCATTGAATTATTCATTCGCGACCGATGCCCCGTGTCGTCGGAATCACTTTTTTACGCTCGATTTTTACGTTTTCGATTGGCTCTCTTCGATCCACTCTATACTACACGAGATATTGAGCAGCCAAGTGGGCAATTAACGCCTATGTACTCACACCCTCCGATGTAATTCCCGATTATCTCGAAAATCACGATCCTCTCGCTCTCTCTCGTATATAGCAGGCGAACGCGCGCGTGCCTCCGCATGCGCTAATTAGCGTGAAGTGCTGCTGCTGCACTGATGTATGCCCGTGTGGAGCCTCTGGGCATTGGGCGCTGGGATTAGAATTGACAAAGTCACACAGCAGCCATCGCCGCTACTGCTGCATTTCTCTCCTGACTTTGCGCTACCTCGCCCACGGTCTCTCATCTACTGACCCGTTCGTGTCAATCAACGGCCATTTCTTCCACTCGAATTGCGCTGCGCTCGTGTACATTATCGCTGACTCTTTCTGCAAGAATTTGACTTTAATAAAGTACACCCAAGTACTCGTAAATTTGTCTACTATCGCTTAGCATCGCTCTCCGAAGAGAGAGAGAAAGACTTAATCTCTCCGCTCGATCATCAAAGTCTAAGTTGACCAATCGTATACGTACTTACGCGCATTGTACTTAACCCCCTTATAGTGCCTAGCATTACGCTCGCGATAAAAAAGCATTAGGTTATATACCCGAGCAAGTATTATACATGTACGTCGCTAAAGAGTCGTTGTTTGTGTTGTTGCGAGTGCGTGTGTATGTATCTTGCACGCGGCACGTGTGCGCTAAAAAGCAATAAAGTCAGCTGCTACTGCTGCCACCCCTCTACATATACGAGATGCATTGGAATGGAGAGATCCTGTGCCGTAGATAGCGGCGAGAGTTGCAAAATTGAAGGAGCTCGTGCGTCGTTCCACGTTAGGCAAATATTGTGTATCGATGCGACGAGCAATTTACAGATTACTTTCTAATAATTTCAGATTGGCCCAGCCTAGATATCGACTTTTTTTCTCTTATATTAAAAAACAAATGATAATATTTACAAAAATTGATATGTCAATTGTGAAATTGTGTGTATGTATGTGTCCAGTTAAAAGCAAGTGTTTTCTGTTGTTGTACTGGATGCTTTTAGTGGGTAACGTGTTCGGGGGCCGATGCGGTGCGGAGGCGTTGGGCCTCGGCCTGATGTCGCTTAACCCAGCCTACAGGTTCGCTCTGCCCCCGGGGCTCGCCGCCAAGACCACCCGCTGCCTTACGTTCGACCAAGGTAGGGGCTAAAAACCACCAATATAGCCACAATTCATCATACCGAATGCAGCTTCTTACAAACTTTTCTTCTTCTTCATTCTTACTTTCTTTTTCTTTACCTTTTTTTAATCAATTATTCATTCGCACCATGAGCAATTTATCACCACACATGCATTCGCTGCTGCACTTGCCAATTAATTCTTAATGTTAAGTATTATACTAAATGCACGTATCATCACTTGCACGCTGAATATATAATATAATATCGCACAATGATAGCAAGAATGTATACTAACCAACCTTATCTCGGGGGCCCTTTGAGCGCATTAAATAATGCAGACCCGCGCGCAAGAGTATCTCTATCGCAAAATCAAAACTAATTAACCCTGTAATTCACGAGTTTTCTTATCAATGCCAACTATTGGTTTGCCACAACCGCTAATTTTATTCGCACGATTTGATTTTTGTTTTTTGCTTCAACGAGAGTACTGCATATACACATACACACACACACACACACGTGTGTCCGTGTATAAGAGAAAAACTGCATGAATATTCATGTCTCGATTTATCTAATCAGTATTTACATTCATGTGCAAGTTATTTTTCAGAAACTGATTTATATATTTTATACTATAATGATGTGACTAGATGGCAATACGAGCACAACATAGTCGTATAGGCTTAAGACAAGGAAAGCGAAGCCAAAAGAGAAAAAACGTTACATGTTGCTCGCGTGAAATCGAGCCTATACGAGCTTGTATTTTCTCTTTCTATCCGAACGCTAATGACCCGCTGCGTGTGTATGTGTGTCGGGCGAAAAAGCAACTGTGCGCGTCGACGTTATCTTTCTGCGTTTAAAGCCACGCGCGAGCAGCAGGACAAAAAGAGTAACGATGATCGGTCCATAGCTGTGATTGAACGGCAAAAAAGGTGAGCATCATATAGCCGCAGGGATTTGTTTATGTATATATACAACGCGTGCGAATATATATGCCTCTACACGGGTAGAGAGAGAGAGAAGCTTTTTATGAGCTATATATGCATTGATTCGCATATACCCAACGCACCCTATAACACTCCCTTTTCTGCTACGTCTGTCTCTCACTCTCTATGACAGTCGTCGAAAACATATTTCAATATCCGTTCCACTTTGTTTCGGGCTCGAACTGCACTGTGCACACCGATTCCAATATTCATTTTGTTAGCTTCTGGTGCGTGCGCTGCAAGCGGTGCACTGCACGAAACCCGATGAAAACCGAACCGCTTTTTTTCGTCCATGTATGGAATTTGGGCAAAAAGAGTTTCAACGCGGTGTGGGCATTTTTACACGACACTAATATAAACTTCTCATTATACGGTACTCTCGCATATACGCTGCAGAGGACCGATTTTTGATTGCCGGGTTATAAATGCCGAGCCCTTGACCAGAGTCGCTACTTTTTGTCTTTCGTTTCTCTTTTTTTTCATTCCCACTTTACTACTGAATTATTGCTTTTGCGCAGCGCCTTAATAAAATCGACGCTCGCGTTTAGGTACGCGTGTAAAATTTGTCAGAGGACGACGACGACGACGATGCGGTGGTTCTCGTGCGTGTCAAAACCTCAAAGTCTCGAAAGCTTCAAAGCGACTTAACAGCTCTTTTATCGCTCGACGCGTGTAAAATGTCTGACGTTTCCTCCCTTTCCGCTCGATCTCTCGTCCCTTGCGTGGACCACGCGCGCATTGTGTACTACGCGCCTGAAAAGATCAACTCATCCGTATACTTGGCGTTTATAATGCCATTTAAATTACGTCGAATCACGGAGCATAATTGATGCATTGAGAATTTAACCATTTTTTTCTAGTAAAAAAAGAGATGAAAATAAATACGCACAAATATTGTTGTCTCTCAAAATAGCTACTGCCATTCGCCCAATGTGACACTCGACCATTTCTAATTCTCATTCTCTCGCTCTCTCACTCTCTCGTCAAGTCTCGTCTCTCACACTGTGAGTAATTATTAACGTATCTCTAGTCCAGTGACCTTTCACCGGCCTTCAGCACCTCATGTGCAGCAGCAGGGGGATATTTGATGGGCAATTCGATTACATGTATACGTAGTTGTCTACCCTTGCCCGAAGGTGCATGCGTGATAACTTGGAATTGCAGTTGGGCTAGGAAAAGTGTGCATCAGCTATCACCGACGCACACCCCTTAAAATAGCTGATTCGAAAATATCAATGTTGATGATCGATCGAAGCCGAGAGCCTTTCATTTCGTTACAATAATTGAAGATTTTCCATGCAGTCGGCCAATCTGAAAGAAAGAATCTAGAAAGAAAAGATGAAATAGTGGAGGAATTAAAAGTATCGCATCAGCTTGAGTAGCAGGCAGTATTATCGTATCATGGTGGCTCTCGTCTTGTCTCAAAATATTTAATTAAAGGTGTACATAGCGAAGCTCACTGTTTGACGCTGTATTGCGACGTCCCTCGCGCGCTGCTCCTCGGCTGCAGTAGGGTTCATTCGAGTATAAATGGCTGAGAGAGAGGGACTAGCTCGCTCGCAGTGCGCTGATACGCTAGTAGTAGTAGTGGTGGCTTTTCTTCCACGGAATATTTAATTAGTTTTTCCTCGGCTGTTGAGGCATGGGTTTGAGGTCTTGAACTGGCGCGCGCGCGGTTATAAATGTTAATTGCAGATGAAGTGGTAATAAGAAGCGAGTGAGCGCGACTACGAGGTCGTTACATCTTGCCCTGTCCTCGAGCTTTCCTCTACACTTTGCTCTCTTGATTTCGAGCAGTGCTTAGATTAATACCAGTCGTCGACGTAGTCAGTGTCGCTTATGGTGCGATATCGACTCTCTCTTTCTCTCTCTCGCGCGTAAACAAAAACTCTACGCTTGATATTGTTTTGAATTCTGAATATTACGAGTTGGAATCTCTGCTTCTCGCGCTTATTGATCGTAAGAGCCTATTGACTGCCTAGGTGTGTGTACAGCTGTTCGAATCCCGATGCAGTATAAGACGCAGGATAAAAAAAAGAGGGGCCAAGAATCACTGACTGATACTTCTTTTCCTCTCTCACCAATAGAAAGAAGTCGCGTGCGGAGGGGCTGCTGGATGAGATGGCTAGAGCGGAATTTAATTAAGTAAAATTATTGTCGCCCAAGCGTGTGCCTCTGCGTTGCTTGAGTGCGTATAAGAGAAAAAGAGAATCGGAAAAGGAAAAGAAGCGAGAGAAAGAGAGCTAGAGGTGCCAAGCCACTGTCTCGTTTTATGCTCTTTAGCAGCTCGGCTCCGACGACGATTTTTCGGAGCTGCTGCTGCTGCTACTGCTACTGCGACTTCTAGGCACTGTTGGCTGTACATATATACAGAGACAACGAGGCGGGCAAGGGTTGTAATGATCTCATTCCACGATAAAACACAAAGTAATAGAAAGTAAACGAATTCAGGAGTCGAGCTTTCTTTTTCTCACTCGGTGAAATAGTTGCAGCCTGCATACTTCTCTTCTTCTTCTTCTTTAATTACCTCACTGAAAGTCTTTGTGTTTCGACGTTGTCGCCTCGCTACTATTTTTAATTAAGAAATACGAAAATCACTAACGAGTACTCACCGCTGACTATTTAGCTTCTTACCGACACGGATTTTTCTTTGGAACTTTAAGTTTTTTTTATCAAACGGAATATTAGTAGATCAACATTTTTCTTAGTATTAATACTTTTATTTAAAATTAATGCTTCAAAAACTTAGTCAAATATACATGCACTTTTAAACCAAAATCGAATTCAAAGCTTGCGGAGGCTTCAAAAACTTTAACTTTTATAATCTCTCTGCACGGCGAGTTTAAATACGTAACATGAACTAATAAATGAAAAAAGGTAATTTTTACGACATTCTTTCCGTTATGATTTGAGTAAAGCCCTTCTTATTCGAAAATTTACACATTGGCATAATATTACGAAAAAATTAAAGCGATGAAAAATATGTCCACTGGTTCGCATAATAATAGCATTACTTAATTAATTATAGGCACCCCCGAAGAGTATGGCACAAAGAAAAATGGTTGGGCCAGCGCTTATAACTGCTGCAGGTATCAATTTTTATGCGTTATTAGCGATATAATGAAAAATACCCGAGCTAAATTATAATTTTTCGGACTGTTGAAACGTTAATGATGATTTTCAATATTTTCATCGAATTGAAATATCTCGTCGGTAAGCAAGCGAGCGAGCGATCGCAAATTCTCATTATTTTTTCAAGCGTTACATCGCAGCGAGAGAGAAAAAATCAAACGCGTACAAACGAAACAAAACGACCGAGAGTGAAAGAGAGAGAGGAAAAGGCGAAAAAAAACGAACGATCCAATTGATTTTTGCGGATGCATATAATTTATCTGCCGGTGCTGGTATTTGTTTTTATCATCTCTCCTGTATTTTTCCACCCTGGTCTCTTGCAGTAATACCTTTTATCGTCCGGTGTCACCATTAATTTTGACATTTACTCGCAGTGCAGCAACGGCAGCGGAGGATCACAGAAAAAAACACATACTCGGACGTTATAAAATTGTTTCGCTTTCCGCGGCTTTCACCCATGCACATACATCGGGGTAGCTCGGGTCTGATTAAATAAATACTCGTTTAGATTTCCACGCCTAATCTTTTCAGAGACACACGCGTATACATGGGCATATATCTTTGGAAATTTCAAAGCAATATCAGAGCTTCAAAGCTCTTTGCACCGATTTAAAAGGCTCATATCGTTCTAACCGCAAACTCCCCCAATTCATCGTCGAAAATGGTTGTGGCGTGCTCACTCTCTCTTTCTCCCTCAACCCTTGTGCTTCACATACACGAGAATTCACCACTTTTCTCACTCGCGTAAATAGGAAGATGTATAGGAGATAGAAAAAACATAATCATGCGAGGCGTTATTACCTATTTGTCGGGCACGGTAACAGTATAAAAGCTTTAAATCGCGTCCTTGCCGTACTACACCGGGCAGAAAGAAAGAGAGGGAGAAAGAGAGAGCCTCTC